GGCCACTGCCTTACATGACTGATTTCACATTCGAACTCAGGTCTTGTCAGGGTTGGTCCCATCCCTTCCCTACTGCCCCACATCATTAATAATGACCCTTTCCTTCTGTGCAGGTTTCAAAACTGTCACTAGAACAACTTTTGAAGAATGCTTCTTTCTTTCTCACACGCACCCATGTTCCTGGGCCACATATTTTGAACCCCGGACCTAAAAATTGCTGAACGAGAGTTCAGAAAAGGACGAGATAGCAGCCCTTTCTGGATTTGCCTAGGATGGCATTTTCCAGTTGTACCACTGAAATCCGTGGACTCTGCAGTCTTTTTTTCTGAGATAGCAAGAAAACTGACACGTTAAGGCCGGGCAGCTGATAACGGTTTATGACATGTTGGCATCCATGCCCCAAAAGCAGTTCTTTGCCGGAGTTTTCTATTCCTCGGCCAACTTTCTTGAAAACCAGTGAGAACGTTCACTCCGAAGTAGAAACCTCCCTATATCGATGTGATCGATGAAGAAAAGGAATGCATAAATAAACCTTTTAGCTGCATTTTTATCCTATCTTCGGCCCCCAAATCTTAGCTCATAATAAAGATTTTGGTTTGATTTGGTTATCTTTGTCAAGAAACATTAGCTTTCCATGAGGTGAGACTTCTGTGCAGTTCTGAATGTATGGAATGAAGCCAGCCAACTCCCCCATTGTACAAACCAGGGATTTTACTCAGAAATAAATGTTTATTATTTGATGTACTTACAGCCACAATTAATTTCCATTGTTAAGCAGTTGATAAGCGAGTTTTGCCCCAGTTTATAACTTGTCTTGCCACAGCTGTTAAGTGAATCACTTTGGTTGTTAGGTAAATAACACAGTTGCTTAAAATAAAAAATTAATCTGGCTGCCCCATTGAGTTTCCTTGTCAGGAGGTTGCAAAAGGGGATCACATAAGAGTGTGTGGTGTGTGTGTGTGTGTGTGTGTGTGTGCATGCACATGGCTGTCAAAACTCCAAAAACAGGTCAAGTAGCTCTGGGGAGGTCAGTTATAAATTAGAACACATGCTAAGCAACTGCCCATTAAGTGAGAACCACTTATATTTGGTTTGCCAGTCACATGACCACCTAGCCACGGCCAGCCAGTCACATGACCACCAAGCCATGCCCACAAATTAGGCCATGCCCACAGAACTGGTTGTTAAGAGATTTGAATCCCACCCCTGATTGCAACCGTCGTAAATATGAGTCAATTGCCAAGCGTTTGAGTTTTGTGTCAGGGAGAGTTAGCTTGCTGTCAGGATTCCAGCAATCGCCCTAATGAAATCATGATTCTCGAGCCAAACTTCACTTGTTGCCTTTAATAAATCCTTTGAAGTTTTTTGAAGTTTGTCTCGAGAATCATGATTTCATTAGGGCGATTGCTGGAATCCTGACATTTTGATCACGTGACTATGGAGTTGCTGCAATGGTCGTAAATATGGGGGAAACACCCATGTCACTTTTTGCTGCATTGTTGTAACTTCTGCAGTGATTCATTTAAGAAGAGAAGAGAAGAGAAGAGAAGAGAAGAGAAGAGAAGAGAAGAGAAGAGAAGAGAAGAGAAGAGAAGAGAATAACTTTATTCGCCAAATGTGATTGGACACACAAGTAATTTGTCTTGGTGTAAATACTCTCATTTAACAACAACTGTGGCAAGACAGGTCATAAAATGGGACAAACCTCACTTAACAGCTGTCCTGCTTTGCAAGTTTTTGGAAAATTGGACTCAGTTGTGCTCATAAGTTGAGGGCGACAATGTCATCTTTTTCAGGACGCCTTTCCAATGTCTTGGAACTACAATTCCCAGGGTGCCCTCGGCCATGCTGCCTGGGAATTCTGGGGAGTCCGAGAAGAAGCCTAACCTAAAGGGCAAAATTGCATCACATTTTTTTTTAAAAGGCTGAAACGTTATCACTGCGTTTGGAGGGAGAAGAAGAAAGTTTATTTGCTTGGTTTCTCCTTTCCAAGAAATTTGCTTTTTTTATTTTTTTCCAACTCAGCTTGGAAAAGGAGAGAGTTTATTAGCCAGGCTTGTTGTGCTGAACTTTGTAAAACATCAACCTACAAAGCAATTATTAAATGCAAAACACAGAAAGCTTTTGTCCTAACAAAGAACTAACTTTGTAGCTACAGGCAGTTCTGGCCAGAAGCTGACCGGTTTGCTTATCTTCTCTGAAAAAATAAACCTTCCAGCTATTTTTCCAGATGTCGCTATCAACTCTGATCAAATCATCCTGAACTTTGGTTGAAGTGTTAAGCCAGGTTACTTTAGGGCAAAAATTTGAAAGGAGAAGCAAACTGTTTTCAGAAACATCAAGAGGCTGGAAACAATTCTATCTTTAGAGGGAGAACATTTCTAAAATGCCCTCTTGTGATCCTGAATTAATGGCCACAAATGGATGAATGAAACTTATTTTAATGAGCTGAACAGTTTGGGCATTGCCAACCTTTCAAAGACCAGCTGTGAACCCTTGCCTTTAACATCTTTTATTTGTATTTATTTTATTGAAATGATTTGTACGGCCTCTCGTTCAAAAACAGAATTCTGGGCAGCAGAACAACAACATAATTTTAGTTCTCGCTCACTTATACACAACCGCCTATAACTTTTTTTTCTGGCCTAAAGAAAAATATTAATTTATTATGTTTGATAGTCTCGGGTGTTCAGGAAAACGAGGGCTGCAGAGAGAGAGAGAAAAAAATGGGTATACAATAACCAGTTATTAAATTCACAATCAGCTGTTATAATCCTGTTTACTTTATTGTCACTGCACCTCTACAATGAAATCAAACACCATCTTCAGTGCATATCACAACCATGAAAATAACCACAAACACACATCCTTCACCCTTCACACATTGAACTGGAAACACCGACACCACACCAACACTGCACTATGCAGCAGAATTCAACAGAGCTCCTGCCCTGGAATAGAAGCTGTTTTTCTGCCTATTTGTCCTTGTTTTCATTATTCTGTACCGTCTGCCAGATGGTAATAGTTCAAAAAAAGGGTTCCCAGGATGAGATGGATTTTTGAGAATGTTTTAAACTTTCTTAAGGCAGCAGGAACTATAAAGCTCTTCCAAAGAGGGGAGAAGGCAACCCAGGATCCTCTGGGCAATGACATTAACCCTCCGGAGGGCTGTCCTATCTGCCCCTTTGCAATTGGCAAACCAGACAGAGATGCAGTATATTAAAATGCTCTCTATGGTGCAGCGGTAGAAGGTCACCAGCAGTTTTTCATTCAGTTGTTGTTTCCTGAGAAGCCTCAGGTAATATAATCTCTCCTGGGCCCTTTTGACCAGGGCTGCAATGTGGACACCCCAGGTCAGGTCCTCTTTTAGGGTAACACCCAGAAACTTAAAACTTATTCTGTTATTTTTGCGTGTGAGTGGGTGTTTGTGCAACGGTCAAGCGTAGCCGGACCTAAAACAGTGGCTGCCTCAGCTAAATCAGTGCCCCCTGTCCCTCTCTTACATGATCAACCCAATTAAGGAATTTTGTGGAAGGAAGCGAAGGAGAACATCAGATGCTTTTGGGGAGAAACTGTGTGGCAATTGTGTTATTTTTTTAAATTGTTTTTGTGTGTGTGTGTGTGAAAAGCGAAGTAGTGTGTTGACTTGGCAGCTTGCCTGAAAGGGATCTTAAAAAGTCCTTGCTCCAGGCAGTGAGTCAGAGTCATGAAGATGGAATGGCAGTGATACTCAACAGCTCAAACCGACAGTCTGTTTTTGATGACCTCTTGTTCAACAATAACATTTGACCAACTAAAAATCTAATCTTGGGCAATGGGGCCAGATTGAATCATGCCGTTCCCCCACCCCCAATATCACCCTCCTCTCTCTCTCTCTCTTTCAGATTTAAACTTCAAGAACACACACAAATACACAATCACATTGGGGCTCTATACCACTGTTTTCCAAACTTTAAGATCGGCGGACTTCAACTCCCAGAATTCCCCAGCCGGCAAGTCTACACATCGGAAAGATTTCTGGCTAGGAAATTCTGGGAGTTGAAGTCCATCCATCTTAAAGCATGTTGGCTGGGGGATTCTGGGAGTTGAAATTCGCATTCTCGGTTTAGTGACTGTTCAAAATTACAGAAGAACTTAAAAAATGAGATATCACTGATCATTGCGGTGTTGGAAGAAATGTCCCTCTGGGTTCAGTTCCAAGTGGGGGAAAAATACACTGGAAACATGGAGGCTCTTTGGAAAGATGGTTTAATGGTGGACAGGACCACCTGGCTTGGAGATCCTGGGTGAAAAGGACTATCACATGCTTCAAGATGTTGGGTGAAGGAAAAGAAGAAGAAGAAGAAGAAGAAG